TTATCGGTCTGTTCTGTGTCGGTTCTTTCAAAAGCGAAATATTCCACGTCTGAGCCGAAGCAACGCAACAACATCAACCGATTCCGTTCCCGAACTGCAACTGATGTGAACGAGCGAATCGAAAATAAGAGCCACTGGGCCAGCTGCTTGGCTAAAAACAAGTAGGAATACAAATACATCGAGAGTTTCGACTGGCTTTTACCCTTTACTCAACATTTAATACTCGAAATCTGTTGGAACTGTAAATATAAACACGCTATAGATATGTATGCTTTGTTCATCTGTTTCTTAAATATGCCTAATTTTGTCTGCTAATCACAAACAATATAACGAACTTAGCATACCCCTGCTTTCTCCGAGTACTGGGTGCAAAAAAGCTTCCTCTCCCTCCCATTTATTCAGCCCGAGGGTAGAGAGAGTAAAAGAGAGGCACCGTGTAACTGTGGGAGAGGGGTTTTGGCGAGAGTACAAGGTGGGTGAGTGAGATTGGGAGAGAAAGCTTCCCACGGCTTTTGTAATCTTCGTTGTATTATGTCAATGCGAGTGGTCTGCTTGACCATTCGATCAGCTATTAAGGAAACTTATGAGAAGAGTGATGCATTTTTATTTCAGTTCACCCATTTTTATGTTTTGAAAGTATTTAAAAACTTTCAAATAATCCAAAAACATGAATCCATTAGGTATTTTCATATGCGACATCATTCAAAAGTGGTACTATTGTTTTAATGTATTTTAAAAATAAAAATACATTCGTTTTTGTAAATTAAAAGTAAGTTTAATTACTTGTTTCGCGTTTAGTTACTATAGGTTTTCTTAATTCATAATAACTGTGCACTTGTTTTTCGTATTTATTTAATATAAGAATGTATCATTCTAATATTATATACACCCTTGTTCGACTAAGCTTGTCTTTGATCTTTAAAAGGCAAAAGACTAAAATCTTGATCTCCCATAAACTACGACTAAAAGGTTTTAGCTCCAGGATGTTAAAATGATATTTCATAGTAAGGTGTCATATGTTGAATTGTATATGTTCGAAGACTTCTTTTTATGGTTTTCCTTTCGGTCAAATCGGCAAATAGTCAATCAATAGCGAGTGTCAAGTCTTCATGAGAGAACTATTTACAATGAGAAAGCGCAACAGATAATTGAACAATTGTCAGTGTCAGACTTTTACCACCTCTCCATTGGCACTGCGCCGTGAGTTTCCCTTGCGGAATGTAATTGGATTAGGCAGCAACCAAGTCCGATACCCAGTCTCAGTATCAGTCCCAATCGCGACGGGAGCACCCGTTAGAGCTCCAGATTGCTTCGAATCCGTGGTCAGAGCTGGAGGATTGGAATTGCATAATCTGGAAACATGAGCAGGGCGAACAACTCGAAAATCGTTTTCAAGCGGAAAACGAGCATCGGAAGCAAGAGTAGTCAGCTAATCGACTATGAGCGCATCCAGGGGGAGTTGGAAGCGGTGACTCCGACAGCCTCGCCTCCACCAGCTTTACCTCCGAATAGTGGTCAGGGAAAACTCATGTTGAAGCTGAGCTCCGCCAAGATTTCGCTTGGCAAGATCTCGCAGATTCCGCAAAATAGTCTTCAAGCTGCTTCCGTGACAGATGCAGTGCGTCGAAAATCGGCACCACAGCTCTTAGCCTTTACCATTGCACCCAAAGTGGAAGCGATTTCGGAAACGCAGGCTCCATTAGTGCCCAAGCTGCCTGGATTTGCGCCAAGTAGCGCCATTCGACGTTCTAGGACATTAGGTTTGTCAAATGGCGCCCAAGCAGGGACAACTGGTCTACCCACTGAGGACCTTGGGCTGCAGGATAGGGAAAGTTGCAGTGGCAGTGAGCCCACCAGCAGCTTGGCCGGAGGTGGTAGTTCCACTTCGCCAGAATCCCTACTAGATAATATCCTCAGTGGCGCCTCCTCCGTATCCGTCCAAAGTAGCAGCAGCAGTCAGGCGAGTAATGCCACGGTGGCACAGCCCATTAAAGCCAAGGAGCAATTGCTGCCGAAAAGGCTGCTGAGCCTGAAGGCTTCACCGCAGTTAAGGATCTCGCCACCCACGCCGGACACTAGCCAACCCAAGTTCCAGATGCTCCCTCAACTCCTTCTGGCAGCCTCTCCAAGGCCAGAGATCTTCGAAGTCCCATCGCCGCTAGTCATGAGTCCCTCCCGGTCGCCCGCGGTCTCCCCAGCAGTTTCCCCATCACCAAGTATTACCTTGAGACCCAGTACTCCCCCCGAGAACACCATAACCTTTACGGATGATCTCAAGTGCGGCATATGCCTGGATGTCTACACGGACCCCAGAACCCTACACTGTCTGCACTCCTTTTGTCTGCAATGTCTGGTAAGCGAGAATTTCAAGGACGAGACGTTCTGGGATCAGGATCAAGCCCGCAGTGAGGATCCCTCTTGCTATAGCCTTAAATCGGAGATGGGTGGATCTAGTGCGGAACTCACGGCTACGGTTTCACCCGCCAGGCAGCGAGGAGCAAGTTTAAGTCTTAGAAGAAAGAAGTCTATGGATCGCCTTGTAATCAGGGTAAGATTGTGATATAATAGAGGATCGATTTACTCTAAACAACCCACATCTTATTAACCAGTCCAAGAGTGAAGGCAAACGATCGACAAGCTCCTTTGGAACCCGGCTGACCGGAAGCTTTGTAAGCGAAGCTCACACTCGATGCATCCGCTGCCAAAGCTGCAACTATCCCACAGATCTCCCATTGGGTGGAGTGCGTCAGCTTCCACAGAACTATTTGTTAGTCAGGCGCATCGAGGCCTTGCGATTGCAGGCTGGCGAGGATGTAATCTCCAAGGTCTGGTGTTCTCTTTGCACCGACGAAATCAGTGTAAGTAGCTTGAAGTCATTAAGTCATATGTCATATGTAAGGTCTTACCCCCTGTTTCTTACTCCAGGCCACCTATCATTGTATCAGCTGCACCCTGAATTTGTGCACCTTGTGCAAGGAGGCACACGAGAGGCAAAGGACCACTGCAAATCACCGGATGAGGAGCATATTGGAGCTAAGGCGAGCCAGGAAACAAAAGCAACAGCAACTGGGATTGGGAGACAGTAGCAAGCTAGTTCTTCGATGTGGAATTCATACAAACTTCGAGTTGAAGGCTTTCTGTACCCAATGCCGTCAATTGGCCTGCACCGATTGTTTGGTGCTACTCCATAAGGGTCATCGCCACGAGACTATATCCCGGGCGATTGGACATCAGGGAAAACTCCTTAAAGAAGCTACGGATCAAACTCGTCCGCTTTGTCAATATGCGGAGCACTCCATCGAAAGGTTGAACGAGATCGCACGTGGAATAAACGCTAGGTGCGACGACATCCAGAATCAAGTGGAGCGTTACATGCAAAAGTACATCGAGGCCTTGGAGGTGCATCGTAGGACCCTGCTCCAACAAATCAGTAGAGCCAGGGAGTCCAAAGTGGAGGTTGTACTCAAGCAGCAACTGGATCTGGGTGAGATTTTTTTTGTAATTTTAATTGATTTTTAGTTAACTGGTTAGTTCCAAAGAGAAACGCACACAGCAGGCTCTGGATGCAGTGCGATTTAGCCAAGAGCTGTGCGAGATTGGCGCCGATGTGGAGATCCTGAGTTATGCGGCTATACTTCTTAGGCGTTTGGAGTATTGCCAACAATTTAAGCCGCCAGTCGATCCGAAGGTAGGGTGACCATCAGTTTGCTTAAAAAAATGTTCACTCCACTTTCTTTCCAGATCTCCGACTCCCTACACTTCTTACCCAAAATTCGGGCTCCGTCTACGAAAGACCAGCGTGATATTCCTCTATATGGCATCATCACCATGCAGGTGGTGGAACCTGGCTTGTGTACCTTGGAATGGCAGGGGTTTTCCCAGCTGCGACTCCACAAAAAGGCAGATCTTCTGTTGCACTCCAGAGATGCCGACGGAGTTTCCCTTTGCCACGGGGGCTTGGAGATTAACTGCATGCTTAAGTACAAGGAATCGAGCTCCAAGTTTCTGCCAGTGGAGGTTTCGGACAACAGGGATGGCACCTACAACATATCCTTTACGCCGGATGCCCAGGGTGCGCTGATCCTAACGATCACAATCAACGAGCGGCCCATCAAGGGAGGTCCTTTCACCTTCCAGGCGCGTCAGGTTCGACCGCACACGGGCATTTACCACTGCTGCTCCTTCTGCTCCGGAAAGGGCAACCGAAGTGTGTTGTGCTCGTGCGAGGGTCGAATGCCTGGATATAGTGGCTGCGGTCATGGACATGCTGGACATCCCGGGAGACGCCACTGGTCCTGCTGCGGAAATGTGCTCGAGAACTCCGAATGCAATGTGGCCAATAAACTTCTAAATACTTAAAACTCTTCACTAAGTATGGATCACTTATGAAACCTATGTATGTACTTAGTAACTATACAGTTCAACTCAATTAGTTTTGTTTTAAGCTTAAGATTAATTTTAGATCCAACAACAATGAATTGAAACGATTAAAGTCGTATACCTAAGAGAGTATTTCAGGTCCACAAATGCATTGCAAAACATAAGTTGTAAAATACCGGAGGATGAGGACAAACCCTACATATGCCAACAAACCTGGCCTCAATACTCACATAACAGCGCCTAAACCCAAGCGGTGACCTTGAAAATTGTAAGTGGGCAATGAAGTAAGGACTATACCTGCCACATGGTCAGCACATGCATTCGACCTAATCGAACGGAAAATAATGTTGGTTTATTCATGAAAATTTTCATCATAAATACAAAAATAAATCCTTCATAAAGTGGAAGGGCTCTCAGGGTTGTCGGTTTTCTTGGACAAAAAAATAAGCAATCCTATTTATCCATTTAGCCTTTATATCCCCATAGACAAAGTCTCAGGAATTAAGCCAAGCTTGTGGAATATCGTGCAACAATAAATATCACCACCCTTCTCTGCGCTTCTCACGCTTCACAGCTAAGCTTATCAACGGAAATCGATTGACATTTGTTTATCTTTTATTCATTGAAAATTGTAATCACAAACACAAACATGAATCCTGGACAGAAATATAAAGGTTTTACGAGGCTTCATTTTCAATTGCCTGCTCGAAAGCCTGAGATACGTCTACGTTGTTGTTTTCTTCGCTGGGTAAATGAACAGGCTTAGCCTCATTCTCGTTGTAAAAGGTTAGGTGCTCCTCGTAGAAGTGGATCACCATCTGCGGGATTTTCAGGTTGGCCACTGAAGAGGGCACCATTTCTGCCTGGTCCTCTCCTTTGAACTGTATTAGGAATGTCAGGCAACCGTTGTCCGAGGCGCCCAGAATTTTTTCGGCCTCCAGACCACGGTCGAATCCGGTAGAGCCGGTTGGCACGAAATCAGTGCTTTCCTGGTCCACCTCTGTTGTGCGTTTTGAAAACACAAAATAATAAGAGTTGGAGTGAAAAAAAGGTGTCTTATGATTCTACTATTCTATGTTTGTCAGCTGGAAAATCGGTATTGAGAAGTATGTCTTTACAATTTTACCTATTTGTGTAGGTATTATGAAACTCAACTAGGAGGCTCTTTGCATGGTTCTCTAAAGAGTAACTCATTTGTTTGAATTGATTTCGAACTTAAATTATTATTATTTTGATTTTGAACTTTTCTGTTATTTCTTGGCTTGATGGTAGGTTTCTAACTTCAAAATTACATTCGTTTCTCAGCTGAAGACCTTATATGTCAACTAAACAGTCTGCAATTGGATGTAGAAATGTAGTTTCTAGCAGATGAAAAAACAAGGTTATGTTGCTCCTTTAGACCTTTTAAGAGCTGTCTAAGCTATGGAAGATTGACTGTAGCTTTGCCCCAACCTCTAATCAGGATGTCTTAGTTTACTGTTGGTATTTTTTGCGCGGCAAAACGAGTTTTAGTGTAGAGAAAAAATCTTATTTTGTATGTACTCTTTGGGAAGGGAAATTTTAAGGTTACGGCTTAGTTCTATTTGGGATAGTGGCCTACCTGTTGGTTCCTCCGACTTTCTCTTGCTCGTAGTGGCCGACGATGTGCTAACGCGTTCAGGAGTTTCCTGGGTTTTGGCACTGCTGTTGGGTTGGTCCTTTTGCTGAGGATTTAGATCGGTTGTAGACGGAAACCAAGCCAGTATAACTGTAGCATCGCACTTACCTCGTCCTTGTGGCCCAGCTTATACTGCTGGATGAGGTCCTGGCAGTAGAGATTGCTCTCGGGCTCCCAGGTGTTCTCTGTTTCGGCGTAGCCCTTCCACTTGAGGTAGTACTCCACCTGCGGGTGGAAAATGCCGTAGTAGGACCCGAAGTTGGGGGAAATTCTGACGCGGATCACTTACTTTGCCCTTGCGGACCCGCTGATCGATGATCTTCTCCACTGTGAACACCTCCTTCTCCTCGCCATCGAAACCCTTGCCGAAACTCTTAGGATTGTCGGATTTCTCTCCCATTTTGTTTGTACTTTAAAAACTTAGCACGGGTAAAAAAAATTGGCGCAGCCAAACGCACACTAGCACATGCAACCTTTGAGTTGGTTTTACTTAAACAAATTCAAATCAAGAACGTTAAAATAAACTCAACGCCTACTTTGCAATAAACCAAGGAGAAAAATGTGACACATTCGTCGCCTGCTGCATCGTGCATCGTATGCACTTTTATCGAAGTAAAAGCCTATATTCCCTATAGCCGTTAGATATAGACAAGACCTCGGACTTAAGCCAAGCATGCTTTATATACAGTGCACCTATATATAGTCATTATCAAAGCCTCAGGAATATCACCATCCTAAGCTACGCTTCTCAACGGAAATCGAGCAGCTATTATCGACTGTCATTGATCTTGTTTATCTTTATAAATGAAACCTTTTTTTTTCGTCTGGACATAAGATCTTTTATTCATTGAAAATGTTGTTCATAAATACAAACATGAATCCTGGACAGAAATAGAAAGTTTGTCCGAGGCTGCATGAGTAGGGAGGGGGGCTCGTAATCGCCTGCCCGGAGGCCAGAGATAAATCTAGTGTGGTTTTCTTCGTTGGATAAATGAGCGCTCTTGATATTGATGAAGCAACTTCAGAGCAGAGCCTAATCCTCGTTGTCTGAGTACCAGGACAGGCGCTCCTCGTAGAAGTGGATCACCATCTGCGGGATTTTCAGGTTGGCCACTGAAGAGGGCACCATTTCTGCCTGGTCCACTCCTTTGAACTGTATTAGGAATGTCAGGCGGCCGTTGTTGTCCGAGGCGCCCAGAATTTTTTCGGCCTCCAGACCGCGGTCGAATCCAGTAGAGCCGGATGGCAAGGAATCAGTGCTTTCCTGGTCCACCTCTGTTGTGCGTTTTGATTTGTTGCTGGCTGGCGCTAAATAAAAATGAAAACACAAAATAATAAGTGAGAGTTAGAGTGAAAAAACGACGTGCCTTCCATTCTACTATTCCTGTTTGGCAGCTGGGAAATCGGCATTGAGAATAATTTACAATTTAACCTATTTGTGTAGGTATCTGGTATGTATGTATACCACTTTTGCATAAATTATGGGTGTAGTAAAATGTTTTACTCTGTAAATACAACTGAGAGGCTCTTTGAAGGGTTCTCTAAAGAGTAACTCTCATTTGTTTAAATTGTTTTCGAATTTCGAATTTAAATTATTAGTATTTTATTGATTTTTAACTTTTCTGTGATTTATCGGCTTGATGATTGGTTTCAAACTTTAAAATTACATACGTTTCTCAGCTGAACACCTAATTTGTCAACTAAACAGTATACCTATTAATGTGGGTATGCAGGATAAGTTTCTAGCAGATGAAGAAAACAGGGTGCTGTTGCTCCTTTAAACTTATTTTTAGAGCTGCCTAAGCTATGGAAGTTTGACTGTAGCTTCAGCTTTGCACCAACCCGAATGAGGTTGACTTAGTTTACTGTTGGTACTTTTTGCGCGGCAAATCAAATTTTAGTGTAGAGAAAAAACATTTTTTTGTAGGTACTCTTTGGGAAGGGAAGTTTTAAGGTTTACGGCTTAGTTCTATTTGGGATAGTGGCCTACCTGTTGGTTCCTCCGACTTTCTCTTGCTCGTAGTGGCCGACGATGTGCTAACACGTCCCGGAGTTTCCTTGGTCTTGGCACTGCTGTTGGGGCGGTCCTTTTTGGAAGCCGCCGCCTTTTCCTGAGGATTAAGATCGGCTGTAGACGAACCCAAGCGAGCACAACTGTACGAAGTATCGCATCGCACTTACCTCGTCCTTGCGGCTCAGCTCATACTGTTGGATGAGATCCTGGCAGTCGAGATTGCTCTCGGGCTCCCAGGTGTTCTCTGTTTCGGCGTAGCCCTTCCACTTGAGGTAGTACTCCACCTGCGGGTGGAAAATGCCGTAGTAGGACCCGAAGTTGGGGGAAATTCTGACGCGGATCACTTACCTTGCCCTTGCGGACCCGCCGGTCGATGATCTTCTCCACTGCGAACTCCTCCTCCTCCTCGCCATCGGAACCCTTGCCGGAACTCTCAGGATTGTCGGATTTCTTTCCCATTTTGTTTGTACTTTAAATACTTCACACGGATAAAAAAAAAAAAATTGGCGTAGCCACACGCACACAAGCACATGCACTCTTTTAGTCGGATTTACTTAAACAAAACTTGCGGCCATTTGATAGATAGAAAAAAGATAGAAAAAGAACAACTAATCTTCACTTACACTAGTAATTTAATTTGCAGCAGCCGCTGTGCTGACGCCAGGAGAATTTTTTATAAAATGATAAGTCTGCAAAAAAAATGCGCCTTCCAAAGTGACGCCGGTGAAACAGTGTGCAGAAATACGCGCTGTTTGCCAGTACTGCGCGAAAAATTATCGATTGTTGAAAAATTCGATGTATTTTCGACATTCAAAAATGTAAGCTAGAAATTATAAAAGTGTCTGTTAATATTTATTTCGTTTTATCATGTTAAGCCAAACGCAAATTGTAAAATGAGATATACAGATATCAACGAAAATAATAATAAGTCGATGCTTCTATCTACCTAAAAACATCGATGTACAAATAACGGAATCGATTTTACTTCCTGTTCTTTTTGATACGATTAACAACACTGCCTATCAAGCGCGAATTTTCACGCATTCTGCCTCATATATCTTTGTCGTGCATTTTTATAAAACAAAATAAAAGAAAACATGCCCAAGACTAAGAAGAAGCAAAAGGCCTCCTCCTCTGAGAGCGATAGCGGCCCGGAGGATGTAAGTAGAGCTCGAAACAATAAAAAAAACTGGCCTTAATCAGTATGCATACAACAACAGCGCAATCCGCCGCCAAGCAAGAAAGCGAAGGAATCTGCAGCCCCGGCGGAAAGTAAATCCGCTTCCGGAGATTCGGCCGGAGGTGGGGCCACCACTTGGACCTTGGAAGGACTTCGCCAGGTGCGAATCAACGAGTTCCGCGGCCGCAAGATGGTGGACATCCGAGAATACTACGAGAAAGGCGGTGAGACCCTGCCCGGCAAAAAGGGCATCTCCCTGTCCATAAAGCAGTGGAAGAAACTCCTTGAAGTGGCGGAGGAGGTCACCCGCGCCGTTGAGAATTAAAATGTGTAAATCCACACCAAGCTCTAAGTCCTAAGGATATATGTAATTACTCTAAACTTTGTTAGCCAGCATTTAAGTGGGAACTTCCCAGTGAATAAACTACGACGTTACAAGGATATTGATAATAACCATAATATAATAATAATAGTTAACATCAATAAGCATCTAGCTGTAATGCTAGCCATCTAAATCTAATTCCAGTTTAATGATCAATTAAAATGCGTATTATATTTCTTATCTGCCATATGATATGAAATCATTTATTGCACTTATTTACATACATACATACATAGATAACGCGTTGATGCCAAACTATCCACTGAACTATGCTGTTTTGCCATTCCACTTTTTAATGGTTTACATTTCCTTCAATTAACTACACACTTTAACATGAATTTAATTAGAAACTACATGACGAATATAAAATAAACGTAGTCTTAACCACTAAAAGTAGACGCCTAGCAGTATGCAAATGGTCAGGAGAATGGCAAACGGCAGCCAGGTCTTGATGAAGCCACCGATTCCGACGTAGCGTCCGCAGACGAAGAGCCACATGCTGAGGATGAGCATGTTCCATACGGTTGTGTTCTTGTAGCGCATGTTTATGAGCGCGGTGGCCACATGCGAGTGGCAGTTGTCGCAGAAGATGTTGTGGATGCGGGTGCCGTAGAGCACGGATGCCTTGGACACGGCCTCGTCCCAGGCATAGCTGCCGCCCTCCACGTACTTGGGATGCAATCTCAAATAGCGGGTGGGTCGCCCAAAGGCCATGTTGTCCTCGGAGACAAAGTAGGGACCGGCAAAGTCACGGATCACTCCGGCCGAGGTGCAAATGCCCATGTGACCGATCATGGGCAGCAGCCAGGTGAGCACCGGAATGGGAGTCCAAACGATGCAGTACGGGAAGCGCTGTCCCTCCACGCTAATCGGCGGCAATCTCTCCGGCACTCCATCGCCGGAACCACCTCCGGATCCACCCATCGAGATCTGCACGTCCTGTTGTGGCTGTTGTCTTGGGTGCGTCGTCATTATTACACTGAATTGGGAAGAAAGTCGTGCGGGGGAAACCACAAGAACAGTCACTCACGGTTTTTCCGGTCGTAATGCCCACCAAATCGGTCGCTTACTTTTCCGATCGGGGTTGAATTATACGATAAGAGAAAAATATAGCAGACGCAATTCACGGGTTGCTGTGAGCAACCTATGTATGTGTATGTGAAAACAAAATTCACCCACACATCTACTTGTATATTTATTTACATATTGGCAGTGTTGGAAAACGTTCTACAGAGTCAGGGGCGTCTCAGAAGGGTATTTCAAATATTGGAAATTTAAAAACTCTTAGTTTTTATTTAAGCCAATCGATTTTATCATTTTCTGTTCACACTCGAAAATATAAAACTGCAATTAAAGTTACATTACAAATAAGTGCTTTGTTATAAACACAAAACAAATTTTGATCAAAAAAATTCAAGTAAAACTTTTGCTTTAATTGAAAAAGTTTATATATAATTTGAAATATTCTAACATAAATGTTTTGGAACTAAGGCTAACATATTGTAGGTATAAAATTGAGTTCAGAGTAAACCTTTCTAATGTTAATTACTTTTACAATTTTATAAATATTACCCTTAAGAACGACATAAAAAAAAAACTATAGAAAAAAAGTAATATTTTTAACTGAGGCTATTTAACTCCAAAAAAAAGTTCCAGCGTACGCCCCTGCCAAAAACAGCTGCTGCAGCCACAGCTTTTGTGGTGGCAGTGAGAATTGGAAGTGTTTATTTGCTGAGCTGCATTTTCTATTGCGAAATATTTATTAACAATCGTTGGCCATGACACAGGTGTTTATCAATGGAGCAAGAGACGAGCCCAATGTGCGGGAGTTCGAGAGCTTGGGTACAAAGTTGCTGCAAAAAATCTTGATCAATTATCACTCTAATTTGTTGTCGATCCCGTAGATCCTTCGATTCAAGAGCTCATCCTGGCAGCCACGGAAGCCAGGAAGCAGGCCTACTGTCCGTACAGCAACTTTGCCGTGGGAGCTGCTTTGAGGACCAGCGATGGCACCATTTACTCCGGTTGCAACATAGAGAACGGGGCGTATGCCACCTGCATTTGTGCGGAGCGCACTGCAGCCGTCAAGGCCATAAGGTCAGTAGGTCAATAATCTGGAGGGTCACAGAAATCTAAACATATCTATAGATTCTCTCTGAAAGCCATATTAAGAAATCATAAAACCTGTATATATATACCTTTAATTTTCATATCCTTACATAAAAATTAAATTTAGTTATGTAGTCATAACAAAAGTTTATATTTCAATCAACTTAAAAAAAAATATTAGATTTCATTATATTAAGATAACCCCTGACAGTACTGTTTTGCAAACATTACTAGTCTGTTATCAGTTGTTGCGTCTTATTTATGTATTTTAAATAACTTATTTCCTCATAACTCAATACCTCGGGAACTACATTGAAAAATTATGAAAAAATAATAGAGATATGTTTTTTTTTTTTTTGGTTTTACTGTTTGTATTAATTCGAGTTTTTAATTGAGATTTTATAGATAGTTTTTATTTTGTTCAAAAATAACCTAAAATCATGTGTATTTTTTCAGCGAAGGCAAACGCGACTTTGTGGCCTGTGCGGTGGTGGCCCAGCAGGATAATGGCTTCACCACGCCCTGCGGCGTCTGCCGGCAGTTCCTCTCCGAGTTCGTCAACGGCAAGGACATCCCCCTGTACGCAGCCAGGCCGACCAATCTTCCACTGAGGGTGCTCTGCACCAGCGTTCTCCAACTGCTGCCCAACGGCTTCAGCTTCTCGAACGGGAAATAGGAAAGTGGAATAGGAATCGGAACCTGGCAGGGTGCAAGCCCGCTGCAATCCATGTGCAATACTGTTACTTATGTGACTCCCAGTTTGTTAAATTCTGTAAACCCACCCCTCGTTATTTGTTGATTGAACTGCTTATACATGGCAACCGCTCGCATCTGTTTGTGTTTTTCGCTGCTCTCCACGATCGCTGCTTATCAGGCGGCTCTGGTTCTAGTTCTCTCATCCGCTCCGAGTTGGCCAAGTGTGTTTATTTTTGTCACCACCGCACGACGGAGAGGATTACCATCATAGCCAACTTCGCGCGGCGCCATCAACACAAACCGTCCATTTGCCAGCGGACGTTCAGAGGAGAAACACTTAGCCACGCACTCGCCCCGCTAAAAATATAACAAAATATTTAAAATAAAGAGGCGTGCCTGCATTGACCAAAATTATTAAATAATGATGACAGATCTGACCAAAAACTTTGCACGCGCGGAGAAGGCGGAGAAGGTGGTCACTTATGGCAGTCTGGGTAAGATTCCTCTCTCCAATTGATAATAAGAATCCGATTACCAAAGTTATCCATAAGAGATTTTTTAATATTATTTAATAATAGTTCATGTATTTCGATTTCTAAGTTTATATTTTTATATTGTCACTACTGTGACGTGGATTGTATTTGGTTTCCAGATTCCTCGGTCCAAGAACTTTTAACAGCTGCTTTTGAAGTGCGTCAGCGGGCCTATGCGCCATACAGTGGATTTAAAGTGGGTGCTGCTTTCCGGGCCAGGGTCAGTGGACAGATCTTCACCGGCTGCAATGTGGAGAATGCTGCCTTTACACCATGCTCTTGTGCGGAGCGAACGGCTCTTGCTAAGGCCGTAAGCGAAGGAGCCACCGAGTTTTCCGCCGGAGCTGTTTTGGCCTATGAACCCGATGTTTTTACCACGCCCTGTGGCGTTTGCCGCCAGTTTATCCGGGAGTTCGCCACCGATGATATACAGATCTATGTGGCCCAGGCCATCGATGCGAGGATAGCGGCAAAGGAGGAGCCCTTCCAGAGTGAGGATCCCATCCTGTGCACCTCCATATTCAATCTGTTGCCCAGCAGTTTTCGCACCTATCGGAAGTAATAAAGGAGAGGGAAGGGAGTTAGTTCAAGGTTGCCCCACAACCTCTTGCCAATAGTAATCTATATAATTTTAATCTAATCACTTGAAATAAAGAAAATTACACTACTCAACAAAGATTATTATTTTTCATTGCACAAACGTATGAGGAGATCGATGACTTATAAGATTACAATTTTAAAATATTGTGGATGAAACTGATTAAGAACTTTTGATTAAATCTTTGAAAAAGGATTATAAAAATTAAAGTCCAAATTTAGATTATCACAAATGAAAGTATGTACATATGTACACACGGACTTACCAATAGATTTTAAGAAAGATTTATACTTTATATTATTAAATGACTAATAAGTAATAACCACTAAAAGTATTAAAAATTGGACTATTCGCAAGGGTTATCAACTTCGTAAAAGGTAACTAATATCTAATTTAAATCTATGGGACGAAGAGAAATCGGAGGAAATCCAGTAGCATTTATTAGTAACAACTGACACTAAATAACGTAATGATTGCATTATGGGGGAATAACAGTTTTATGACAAAGTGAAACTAAACACTACTTTTGTTTATATCAAGCGAAAAATATAAGCTTCAGATTTCTATACCGTCAGTGGCACAGTTAGCTGAATAGTTTCTAAAAAGATTTACTACCAGCTAAAGCTATATATTACTATCAGTATATATTATTTGTTTTAGCATTGTCGTCATACCTTCTGTAATCACTGCCGTTTGAAAATTACACTGTTTAGTATTCATTCATGAATCATGATAATAAAAAGCTTCAGATTATATTTCAAAATGATTTGTATTTTTTATTTTACTAAAAAACTGTTGATTTTTAGAAATTTTTTTCTTTTTAACAAATTTATACAAAATATAAATCATAGAAATATAAATTTCTTTCCTTTTGATAAAATGACATTAGTGTTTTACAGTTGGCCAACAGAATCAGTACTTTGTAACTGGCTTACAAAAACAGATTATTTTCTAACAAATTTAAAGTAGACAAAAATGGCTGAAAAGCAGAAGCTCCTCCATAGGTACATGAAGAACCTCAGCGACATGGAGGATGAGCTGAGGAGAAAAGAGCTGGAGAAGAAGATGAAGGAGCTGGAGTTGCTGCAGTGCGAACTGGCTCGTCGCCAGGAGCGATCTGGCACCAAGTGCGCCGGCGGCAAGATCAACGAGTTGCGCCAAAAGAAGCTCCGGAAGGTCCTGGCAGCCTACATGATGACACTGGAGGGACTGCTCTGTGAGGTGGCTCGCAGGGAGGCGCGTCTCAATGGAGACAGGGGTCGCGTCAGTGAATCCGAGAACCTACCACATCCCGAGATGCTAGAGGAATATACGGTGGCCTTCTGTGCCGTGGGTAAGTGTTGATCTAATCTGTATCCTAGATCCCTCAACCATAACCATGTCAATTTCCCGCAGGTGAAGATGGTCGTGAGCTGCTGGAGGCGGCATTCTCCGCCCGCAGGTGCGCCTATGCTCCATACAGCAAATTCAAAGTGGGTGCAGCTTTCCGGGCCAAGTGCGGCAGGATCTATACGGGCTGTAACATCGAGAATGTGTCCTTTACTGCGGGCAATTGCGCGGAGCGATGTGCTCTGGCCAAGGGAATCAGCGAGGGCGAAAGGAAGTACACGGCTGGGGCTGTGGTTGCCTATCATCCGGATCAGTTCACCACGCCGTGCGGCGTCTGCCGCCAGTTCATCCTTGAGTTTCTGCACAGGGACATTCCCATTTACATTGCCAAGGCTCCGCCGCCAGAGCAGGAGCACTGTATTCCCGCCATCCAGGACACTGACGAGGTGCTGGTCACATCCGCCTATCGCCTGATGCCCCACAGCTTCAACTCTTTTGAATGAATCTGCTTTATAGTTTGGCAATCAAAATGGGAATTGAAATATTGACATTCATGTACTATTGTGTAGGGCTTTTTTAAATAATTTTGGATACAAAAATTACAACAACGATTTCATTAAAATTCTAAATGGTGCAATATTTGATTTGTAGAGTGATCAATTTAAATTGGATTTTATACGCTCTGTTTTGCTTAATATAACTTCCTTTATCACTATAGATTTTGTAAAAACCAAGTGAAAATAGTAAATTTTTACCACGCATTCGAAAAATCATATTTCTTTGAATAATTTGGATACATCAATTATATTGAAGATTTTATTAAAAGCAATAAACTTCTTAATTTTAATATCAATAGAATTTTGAAGGATAGAAAATTAACCACCCACCCAAAA